AACAAGGGGCCGTTTGGCGTGCGCATGCGCCAGTCTGTTGAAAATTCATTGAAATTCATTAGTGATTCACTTCAAGCGAGAAATTACAACGACACGAAGGACAATTTCCAAAAATGTTTTTGGCTGTTTTTGACCCTGAAATGTTCTGTCATGACTCAAGAACACTCATAAATAGTGTAACCTACAACGAGGAAAAACACTGGCGTTATTGGACTGATTGGGACCGTTTAAAATCTTATTTAAGAAATGTTGATATTAATGACTTTGTGTTTACAATATGGAGTCTGCAGTGGTTTATATACGCAACTACTATTCCAGTTTTTGCTGAKTGCTGGTCAAGATTCAACGCAGGTCATGAAGTAAATGGTAAATGTACACATGTAGTAATATAATTCTAGAGCCCATGGTCGTTATAACGCAGCGGTTGCGCGCATGCTCATGCATAACGGCCTCTTGTTGCACAGAGTGCAAATCAATAAGATGTTGTGTTTGTTTTGAAATTGATAACCATCAACTACTTGGGCTACTGTGAAATACATTGAATTCTAAAAACCTTGACCACTTTGAATTTTTTGGTGTTTTCTCATCTTCTTCCCTTCTGGTTTGAGAAGTCAGTGTCTGATTCAAGGTGCCATCTATACTGGTAACAAATGGCTTGGATTCAAAATCATTAAGTTGACTATGTTTGTCAATATTGCCAGGTCTAAAATCATTTTGAAATGACAAATTCTGTTGTTCCTGGGTATGAGTACTAGAATGAAGGGGATCAGTGTGATGAAGCGWCTTGCAGGGTGACATTTTGCTCTTTGTATCCTTATCGTGAGGAGGCAATTCAAAATGCCCATGAGGATACCTGTTTCCTTGGTAAAAGAGTTTCTTCTTTTTGGTTGAGACAATGGAGGATGAATCTTCATTTTTCATTCTTTTGTGTCTTCCATTCTGCTGTTGTTTTTCAATAACTGAACAATTAGTTTTTACTGGTAATCCTATCCAACTTTCATGCTGCTGGCTGGAGTCCTCTGAAAACAATACATTAATAAATAACATATCTTGTCATGAGCAAGGAGCAAATTCAAACAGGTATCATGCGTCACAATTATCATAACCAAAACAAAAAACCGTCAATACTCCAGTTTCAAGATCTTCCCTGGGCAATCAACTTTAAGTAATGGAGTTTTTAAATATAGGTATTTTGCATTTTATGTTTTTATTTCGTGGTATCTCTATATATTGGAGGTCAATAAAAGTTATTTCAAAACATAATTTGCTTCATTCTTGATAATTATCTTAGATAAAATCAGTATCTCCGCGCACCTATGTAATRAACAGTTGAGTTCACGTTCCGAGCGCCATTTTGAATAGATAAGGCACGTGATCAAAACATCCAAAAATCTTGGAGGTTTTGATCACGTGATTCCAGCCAACGCCAGGGTCATCTCCCCGACGACCGCCATCTTGAAAAGGAGTCGGCCGAGATGGCCCTGGGGACGAGGTTGCTCCCGACGACCGCCATCTTGAAAAGGAGTCGGCCGAGATGGCCCTGGGGACGAGGTTGCAGTGCTTTAACATATGTAACACTATGGCCCCGGGATCTTAATAGGTCGCCAAAATGTATTTTTTGGATAAGATATAATACAATGTATGTAATAGACAAGGGGTATCGCCAACAAAAATCTCTAAAGCCTTGCTGAGATTTTCCTGCNCGACAGCACTCTTGGGAGAATGATTCATTCGAAGACGACAAGCGCCACGCCCGATCAAGCATTGTGTTCAGTAGGCAATGTTTATATCGCGCATCCACATGACTATCATAATGCAGCAATAACCCAGTGTTGGTGGGCTTGATATAAACTTCGGTCGCGATCTTGTTGGCTGTATTGACCAGTTGCATTCCGACGAACGGTAGAACATGCTGATTTTCGAACTCGATGGTAAATTCCAAAGGCTTATAGCGTTCATTAAGTAATTTGAGGAAAACATTTGCTGAGTTAACGTCGGGCATAATCGTAAGGGTATCATCCACGTATCTTCTATAATAAGATGGCATATTTCCGTCATGTTCGAGTTGTTCCTCAATTGAACACATAAATGACATTAGCCAGGAGTGGTCCAAGGGGTGATCCCATTGCTACACCGTCAAACTGTTCATATAGAACACCGTCAAACTGGAATAGTTGATCTTTGGTTGCCGCATTCAAGAGGTCAGTAAGGTCTTGCTTGGTTATATTTAGATCATACTCAAGATTGAACCAGTTGTTGTGAAAAGCTTTGTCAACGAGTAATGATATGGTCTTATCCAGTGGAACATTAGTAAACAAAGAGGTGACGTCATAGGACACGAGGATATCGCCTTGGTTGATCTCTTTATTACGTATTTCATCTGCAAACTTAAAGATGTCAAGTATACTATATYTATTGTAGGACAAAGGCTTTAACTTGACTTCTAACCATTTAGCGAGGGCATAATTATATGTTGACGTAGCAGAAAGAATTGGGCGTATAGCCAGCTTCTCTTTGTGCGTTTTAGGGAGGCCGTATAGATGAGCCAGGCGAGAGCCTTTGACACAGGTACATTCGGCGATAGCACCAGGGAGAATTCTGTGGACTGTTTTGTGTAGATCCTTTTCTTTCTCGAGAAGTGGGTGGTAGTATTTTGGAGGTCTCCCTCTTTTCTTAGGTCTTTCGGTGCTAACAACACGGAATTTGTTGGTGTGGTCTACAGATGCTTTCTTTAGAAGACGTATGTACTCGTCTTTGTCCATTACGACTACTCCAGAACCTTTATCAGGTTTGGTGATTACTATGTCATGACGTTGTTTCAAGTTCTTGATGGCTTTCGTTAGTTGTTTCGGTGGCTTAGGGCCTTTGCCTTGGATGTAGTTGAGTGCTATTGATTTTAACGATGCAGTTGTCAACTCTTTAAGATCATTGGGTATGTCAGTCTCGATCCTGTTATATAGCTTCTCAAAAGATGCTTTAACTTCTATAGGTTGTACAGGTTGTGGAATGGAGAACTTTAAACCCCGGCAAAGAACGAGTTTTTCAAAGAATGACAGCATGTACTTAGAACGATTATCTATGTGCTCATCAACATCCATCTCGCGGTTCAAAAGGCGGGCAATTTTCTTGGTTTGGGTCTTCATTATTTCAGTGTAATAGGCCTTGGAGTTCAGTGTCATAGTCAACTTGAAACAACGAAAGCCATCAAGAACTTGAAACAACGTCATGACATAGTAATCACCAAACCTGATAAAGGTTCTGGAGTAGTCGTAATGGACAAAGACGAGTACATACGTCTTCTAAAGAAAGCATCTGTAGACCACACCAACAAATTCCGTGTTGTTAGCACCGAAAGACCTAAGAAAAGAGGGAGACCTCCAAAATACTACCACCCACTTCTCGAGAAAGAAAAGGATCTACACAAAACAGTCCACAGAATTCTCCCTGGTGCTATCGCCGAATGTACCTGTGTCAAAGGCTCTCGCCTGGCTCATCTATACGGCCTCCCTAAAACGCACAAAGAGAAGCTGGCTATACGCCCAATTCTTTCTGCTACGTCAACATATAATTATGCCCTCGCTAAATGGTTAGAAGTCAAGTTAAAGCCTTTGTCCTACAATAGATATAGTATACTTGACATCTTTAAGTTTGCAGATGAAATACGTAATAAAGAGATCAACCAAGGCGATATCCTCGTGTCCTATGACGTCACCTCTTTGTTTACTAATGTTCCACTGGATAAGACCATATCATTACTCGTTGACAAAGCTTTTCACAACAACTGGTTCAATCTTGAGTATGATCTAAATATAACCAAGCAAGATCTTACTGACCTCCTGAATGCGGCAACCAAAGATCAACTATTCCAGTTTGACGGTGTTCTATATGAACAGTTTGACGGTGTAGCAATGGGATCACCCCTTGGACCACTCCTGGCTAATGTCTTTATGTGTTCAATTGAGGAACAACTCGAACATGACGGAAATATGCCATCTTATTATAGAAGATACGTGGATGATACCCTTACGATTATGCCCGACGTTAACTCAGCAAATGTTTTCCTCAAATTACTTAATGAACGCTATAAGCCTTTGGAATTTACCATCGAGTTCGAAAATCAGCATGTTCTACCGTTCGTCGGAATGCAACTGGTCAATACAGCCAACAAGATCGCGACCGAAGTTTATATCAAGCCCACCAACACTGGGTTATTGCTGCATTATG